ATTACCCTACCCATGACAATATACATGTACACATACTGTATCGAACAAATTAAGATACAGAAAAAATAATAATACAAATACGTTTACAACAGATGCCTGCCCTGCCATGAAGAGAGAGAGAGAGCTTATAATTTATTCAGGATTGGCTTGTTTCTATTCAAAGCGACCTGGGCCTGGAACTCCTCGGTGATATGGTGCTGATGGATCCCTACTTCCTTGATGCTTCCGAGAGAGTCCACTCCAAGAAACCTAGTCCTGATATCCAGACACTGGAGGAGAAGCTGCTGGAGTTTGGGCATTGCTCCCTCCTCAAACTCAACCAACCTCATTTTCCTTGCGCTTGAAACATCCAGCACGACGAGGCTCCGGAATGCCTCCGCCACGAAATGTAATTCTTCACCACGGAAATGCATCACATTGAGACGCATGGCGGCTAGGTTTGGTAGACTCCCCAGGGCTTCTATAGCAGCATCCTGCTCCACTTGGTCAGATGTTTCGAATTTGATCTCCAACTTTACAAGGTTCTCAAGCTTCTTGACCCATTCCGGCAATTTGGGCATGATGCCCTCCAGCTTGAGGTTCCGGAGGTTACTTGGAGGCGAGGAAATGCCGTCCAGACGCAAATCGTGTCCACCCTCTGGAGCCACTGACAATGATTCTAGGAGGTTGAGACTGGAAATGACAGCACAAAACTCTAAAGCATTCTTCTCTTGTAGGCGGACCACTCCTAGCTTACGCAGCCCCACGAGTCCTCCTTTGATGTTCCGCAGAAAAGCAATGCCTCCGGACGCGACCAGGTCCACACCCTGTAATGTATGCAGGGCCTTCATTCTCCTCATCCCTCTTGGCACCCTCACGCCAACATCATTGCCATGCCCTCCCATCAGAAAAGGGATTGCCGCGCAGCATGTGAAGGTGCATACATCACGCTGGTTGAAGCCATCAGTTTGTATTACTTCCCGAGGTATGCAACATCCAGTACAAAAAACCATGCATGTCTTCAAATAAGGATGTGAATCATTGTTGCTTATCGGTCCAAGACACCATGTAAGCTGGTTGCTGGAACGAAGATATTGCAGCTTCCGAAGCTTGACGATGCTTCTCGGCAGTATCACTATGGAGGTACCTCTGATATCAAGTGTTTGCAGTTGCATCAGGTTACCAATTGAATCTGGCAGGTGATAAATATCTTCACATCCTCTCAGAGATAAGTATATTAGGTGAAGAAGCTTCCCGATATGCTTCAAATGATGATCGACAAGACCTGCGTGTCTTCCAAGTCCAGAACTCGTAGCATCCTCATCTTCACCGACATGAAGAATGGCCTCCACTTCCCAAAAACAGTTACTGACCGTACACGGGGCATGTCCACCATCCTCTCAAAATCACTCTGCTCTCCTTCCCAATTGCCGTTTATAGCAAGATGGCGTGCATTACCCTGCTGCCTATTCAACTTACAACCTTTCTCTAGTCTCAAAACAAGGTTTTCTTCCGTAGACTTTGAGATGCTGATCTCACGAATGAGATCATGGACTTGGCAGGAATCAATTCCTTTAATACTATGGAATGATTTTTGAGATGGCAGTATCATGCTCCTGCTTATGAGTTCCAGGAAGTAGCTATCTGATATTTCCTCCGCTGACTTATCACGCACCTCCCTTGAGTACCCCTCTGCAGTCCACCGAAGCACCAAGCGTCTCCGCTCAAGCTTACGGTCTTCAGAAAATATGGATGTGTACAAGAAACAGGACTTGAGGTGGTATGGTAGACCATCATAACTTTTCATAAGAACACTTCTTATGGTTGTAAGCTCAGGATTCATCTCCATCTCGGCACTGATATGATCATAAAATTTCCTCCATTCCAGAGAAGTCTTTGGTTGGTTTGCTAAAAAGCCACCTACGGTGACTATTGCAAGGGGTAGTCGGCCACACTTCTTTAGGATCAATTCGGCTGGTTCGACTAGCTCTGGATAATGCTTATCCAAATCTATTAACTTCCTAAATACCTGAAAATTTGTACAATGCGTATATTAGTACTCTAACAACTAAATAACATACAAGTGAAACAAGACAAGCTTGTCAAAAATACTTGAAAACTACTATCTTAACACTAATAAAACTAGAATGATTATCTACTCTCTCCGTCCCATAATATAAGAGCGTTTTTGACACTACACTAGTGTAAAAAACGCTCTTATATTATGGGAGGGAGGGAGTAGTTTGCAAGAATTCCACCTATAGTTCCCAAAACATACTTTATGTCAAATAAATATAATAAACCTTCCGACATTCATCTTTAACGTTAACGTTCCTCCATATTAGAAACACGGTCGTGCAACTCAAGATATTGTTCAGATGGTTCACAAAAACATTCTGTCATTATTATGTTTGAAATACATTTTCTAGATATGTGTCATTATTATGTTTGAAGAATTCATGTATTTTAAATGAAGTTGTACTTGCTGTAGAAAAACATTATGTGTTCCTTTTGCATTGAAATAGTAAAATTGTATTTAAATAACTCATGTCTGTTGGACAGACTGAAACCGATTAGCAGAAAATTTGAGAAAAAAGATAATACTAAAATATGCCTAGATGAATTATTTTCTTAATCCCTACGTCACGTCAACAGATCGATGAAACACAACATAAAAGAACAATACATTTATTTTTGCGGGGAAATATGGACCATGGTTGTAGAATAGGAAATCTTCCCCACAAATGGAAATAAGACATATTGAATCAAACAAATGAACATGAAAATACTTGGCAACTACCTTTTTAGTGAAGAGCTCACGCGCATACTCGTACGCTAGATCTTCAAGCTTGTATATATTTTCTCGTTTCTTCTCTGAGCAATGTAGAGCAATACTCTTCTCCCTTGTAGTGACTATGATTCGGCTTGTATTTCCCATCTTCTGGAAAAATACTGGTTGTATTAGCTGATCCCATTCTGCAGTAGATGATACATCATCAAGAACAATAAGGCATCTTGTTTTGTCTACCAATATTGCTAACTCATCAATCAAGTCATCAACTGTCATTGATAGTAATCTCTCTTTCACTGATGGTAATCTCTCCTTTTTGCTTGCAGGGGCGAGAGCCTGTTTCGAGGATGGTAATCTCTCCTTTTTGTTTGCAGGCAAACCCACAGCAGCCTTCTTTTCAGAAGTTTCCGTGTCAAGTTGCATAAATAAGCTCCTGAGGAGCTCTAGAAGACTGAAAGGACGCAAAATTGTGGCACAAGCACGCTTCTCAAACGTGCCAATGAGTTCTTGGCTTTGATAGATGTCTTCCACTAGGGTGGTTTTCCCAAGACCACCCATTCCCCAAATGGATATCACCTCAAACCTTTCTCTAGTTGGATGAGATATTAGTTCAATAATATTTTTTTTTCTTTAGCTCGTCCAACAATATGAGATTCCATCTTCCTGTTCCATGTGAGGCTCTTTCCATCAGCAGCTTCTGTAGATGTATCCTCAATTATCTCAGAATTTGGCACTGTTGAGTTGTCAGTATTATTCATAGTGTCCCCTTTTGAGCATGAACTTGTCCCAGTTACATCTGATGTTTCATGTTCAGAGCGCTGCACACAAGGGAACACCATTTAGCCACATTTTTAAGACAATGATTTAGCCACTCACTAAATACAAGTTTGTAATTAAATGTTTGCACAGTAGGTAAGCCCAACCGTTCTTAGCCATCCAGTGGAACTAGAGGAGCATCTGACAAACCTATTTGTTTTACTAAAACAAACTTATAATATTCAGAAATTAAGGCAACGTACTCCCATGCATTATCGGAGAAAACAAATTCTACTATTCCATTCTGATGAGCTGACAATCGCTTAATTGATGTTAGTGGGCACTATGCACCCAAGTCAAATAATCAAGGCGCAAAAAAAGCAATTTATGAAGTATGTACCATATGCAAATCACGAGCCACTAAACCAATAGTAACATTATTTTTGTCTAGCTATTTATTAGGTGTATAAACATGAATTACTATTTTCATATGGTATACTCCCTCCGGTCCATTTTACTCTGCATAAAAGAATTTTCTGAAGTCAAACTTCACAAAGTTTGACCATATTTATATAAAAAAAATCAACATCTACCATGCTGAGTTATACGATATGAAACTTTAAGTCATGGCGCATCTAATCATTATGAATCTTGGTAATTTTTTTCCTATAAAGTTGGTCAAACTTTACGAGGCTTGACTTCAGACAAATCTTATAAAGTGTTGTTTGGTGGTTAGGCTACACATCAGCCATAGTCCTATAGAGGCTATAGTAATAACATAAATTCCATAATAATAGAAACAGAAAGTTCCCTTTCCACGTCTGTTCTACCGGAAATCACTGTTCCATTTTTGTTTCCGTTTCCGCATAAAAATTTCCATTTCCTTTTCCATTTTGCAAATTTCCGTTTCCATTTTCATATTTCCTCTTCGTTTGCATTTTTGCTCCAGAAAAGCAGAAAGTTTCCACTCCATTTTCATCCCTACCCCTGTGTGCATCTCGTGGCTGTGGGCTCGTCCGGTGCCACGACCCTTGGTTGTATGGGGAAGAAGGTGAGGTGGGGAAGTGGTTTGCAAGGGCAGGTGGCATCGCCGCGGTCCTCATCAGACCAGATCGTATGACGCGGCGAGGGAGCCCAGGAGGAGGGATCCCAGTGGCGCCGTGTCGTGTTTGGTCGGGAAGGCTTAGTGCCAGGCGGTGGGGGTGTGGTGGCAAGGCAGGGCACAGCGGCGCTGGAAGCTGGTGGAGACACCGCGGATCTTGTGGGATGAGGAGGTTTTGGACGACTGGAGGAAGGTGGGAGGTTAAGCTCAATCAGGTGCGGGTACATTGCTATGTGGTGGGCCGGGTGCAGCGTGGACTAGGTCAAGTGTGGCCGGTTCGGTTTGGTTCTAAAAAGAAGGTGAAAACCGGAAGCAAACTAAACCGCCGATGTGGAATGTATAGTCGGCAGAGAAATGTGAAAAATGGGGTAATTTGTGGCACAAGTTCGCTATATTGAGTATGCTAGGAATAATTAATATGTATTAATTATGTAATTTATGAATACTATGTCGGTTGACCTTTTGGCAACTGCCTCTTTTATAAACCGCCATGTACTGGGTAAATACGATAAAGGGGGTAAATACTATCACAAACGTGAAACTATGGGGTAAAAAATGTAATCATTATAATAATTAATATGTCTGCTACTAATAATAAGAATCAAGGTATATGAATAACATATGAAAATAGCAATGATGGATGTACATATATAGGAGGAGAGGTTTAGTTGAATAATATTACCATGTTGTGGAAAGCATAGATATACTGATGAGCTGACAACTGCTTGAGTATGTTGTATTCTTTCCCTGCACATAAGGCCGCAACTTCAGCTTGCGGGGTGGACACTACGATTCTGCACCCCAGGTTGTTGTTCGGGAAGCAGCTTTTGACCCGATGCCACTCCTCGATGGTGGATAGGTCATTGATCACAATAAGATATCTCTTCCGGTTCACATACCCATAGAACAAATTAGTGGTATATAGCAGCTGGAGGGAAATAACAGAGTGGTTAGCTATTAGTGCAAATAATATAAGAGCTACTCCGGCAAAGTGTGGTTAGCATGTGAAAGACAGAATTAAGTTACTAGTGCAAATTATGGCAAAAACTAAAAAAGTGATTAGCATAAGTTGCCAACTTGATCCTCCCTAGACTAACACTCCCTCCGTAATGACAGAGGTACGTACTAGTAAATTGTCAATAGGTTGGTACCTGATCGAGATGCCAACTTAATCCTACCCGCAAAAGAAAGAAAAAGAAAAAGATGCCAACAAAGAATATTATTTAGGGACGGTTGGAGTAGTAAATTGTTATTAATATGTCGGCATGTAAATCAAGATGCCAACTTGATCCTCCTTAGACTAATGGTAATTTGTTAGATTTAAGTTACAAAATTGATCTGGATCTAGGTGCATGTGATTGCTGTGCAAGAACAACCGCCCCCAAATGAACGGTCATGCATCGATCATAGAGAAAAATAGTGCAACATGAGTAGCTAATCGGCAGGTGAAAATGAAGGAGCGATGATTAACAAGATGAGCTCACCCAAGTCAGTCGTCACGAGCGGCTATGGATCGACGCGCGCGC